ATTATTGTCATTATTATTCTTTCAGATTATTACAAACCAATGTTATTATGTTTTCATATTAAACATGGAGAGAGGTATGGAGTTTATGATGATTATTTTTTAACATTGGCATTGTTAACATACTTCTTATTTCTTACGTATATTATAGTTTGTGTGTTTGTTATTTAATGCCGCACTCAGCAACCTGAGGGTATTACACCATACAAAAAATTAAGTTCAGTTTTATTATTACATTTGTATTATTTTGCAATCGAACACTAACTCAGACGGGCCGACCTTGTGTTTATGGTCTGGTGAACACAGGTCAATGTCCGCTCATTAACTCAAGAATCACATCTCACTGTTTTGATTTATCTCACTATTCATTGGATATACGGGTCACGCGTGTTCAACTGGTGCTCAACCCGTGTGAAACCCGTTGAGCACCGTGTCACATGCGTGTTCTACGCCTCCAACGCGTGTTAGGGGAATGATTTTTTAGGCAGTGATGTACCATATATACCCGTGATTTTGCAGGTAAACAATTGGCTTGCATTTTCATGTGTTTGAGACGTGTGGCACCGACGTGCAGGATACACGCATCTCTTCGCGAACACCTGGTACAATGGTGTCCTAATACAATGGTGTTATGCAAGGGCGTCGCTTATGTTCCAAAGATATTTTATTCAGTCATGTATTCATTCAAACATGATTTATCCAAGTTACATATATACACACTGTACAATTATGAATACTTATTTGGTTTGGAAAAGTCTTTGACTGGCGTTTGACTTGAGCCAGCTGATTTAGTTGCCACAAAGAAAGATTAATAGAGGATTCACTGTGAAAACAACTAAAATCAATACACTTAAGACAGGGTCTGGTTTCCAAAATATGAATGATAATAATACATATTGGTGAACATTACCCTCTCCCATACCAGCCCCCACCCCACCCTTTGGCGCTCGTGCAATCACATCAAACATTGCCACAAGAGACATGGGCTTGAGCTCAAGCGTGACCCACCCACGAATGAATGTATATAGACTCTGGTTACAGCTACCTAAACTACCGGGCAAAAGAAAGTTTTCACTTTAAAAATAGTTGTATAAAAAGCAAAAAAGCTGGTACAGGTTTGAACCCCCGCAGAAAACATTCACCCAATGCAACATGACCACCACCATATGTAATTGTTTTCATTTTTTTTATTATATTGGTATGTAAGTAGAAGTTGCTGTTTACGTAGATGCAGCCATTGTGTTTTGTATCTATTATATATGTGTAGGTGTGCAGGTGATGTATTTAACTGTATTTCTGAGTGACGGTAGATTGGAAATGACTGATGTATATGAGAGTAAAATTATGAAGCCGGTTGTCCGTGCGTGCGTGTGTGTGCGTGCGTGCGTGCGTGCGTGCGTGTGTGAGAATGTGCGTTTGTGTGTGTACGTATGACTGTGCGGGCATGTTGAACTTGTTGAGTAACACTGTCCACAACTTGCTTGATATCATTATCAGTAAACATTTACGAAATATGACCACGGAACCTACACGTCGTTATGGATCCTGACTTAATTTGTAACAATTGTAACTGTACACTCACAGGTTTTAACAAATTTGCACCTAATATTTCTGATCACAACAATGTATGTTTTTCAAAACACGAATAATTCATATAAAAGACAGGTTTGGCTTGGAAACATGGTGATTTTGATAAAAGTAGCGTTCTCATTTCGCAAATTAAGTGGAATGGACAATTTGCTGTATGTAACGATGTTCACTACATGAGTGGTGTGTTCATTCGAATATTAAATGCATCATGACATACCACATAAAACTATAACCGTTCGACCGTCTGACAATGCCTGGATTAATAATGAACTCCGACGTCAATATAGATCACCAGACATACACGGCAGCATTGGTGACATAACAAATAATTAAAAAAACATAGCAAAAATTTTGATAATATGAAAAAGGTTATATTGAAATATAACTAGATAACTAGATCCGCAATTGACTAATAAAAATAATACTTATTACTGGAAACTATTCAGATACATTATAATAGATGGAGAAATGACAACATATATTCACCCGGGTTATATCGATGCTAGGATCTTTAAGCCTTTACTGATACTGACAAGGCTAAAGTTCTTAATGATTATTTTGTTCTATAAATACTGTTTCAACTAATAAGCATCCTTTACCTTCCTTTGAACGGCGTTGTGAATCCTTCCTTGCTGACGTCACCGTACAAGACCAAGATATTACCATCTAGTAGTAGTCCTGATAACATTTACCAAACATTGTTAAAGCCAACAGCAGATGACAACAGCATTATGTATGATCTTCAAGAAATCTCTACACTGTTCAACATTTCCATTTGACTGGAAATTAGCTCATGTTATGTCGTTGTATAAGAAAGAAGACAAATCGTTTCCTTCGAGTTATAGACCAGTAAGCTTATTATCCATAATTTGTTTTTAATTTTTTTACACAACTATTTTCAAAGAAATCCGCTTTTATATAAAGATCAAATCTGGATTTGTTCCAGGCCACGCTACTGTCTCACAAGTACTTGAAATACATAATAACATTGTTTTATCTGTTGACAAGCACAACTTGTATCGTATGATATTCTTTTATATCTCAAAAGCGTTTTATTGGGTTTGACATACAGGCTCACTATATAGAATTGAAAAATTCGGTATTAATTGAAAACTCTTATCATGGTTACATTATTACATTTCTAGACAAAAAAGTGTTTGTAAAAAATTTAACCTATGCTCATTGAAATACACGTCAGATGGGGTACCCCAAGGTTCAGTTATTAGGTTCCTTTTTATTCCATGTATACACACATGATTTGGCTTAACAATTCAACTCGTTTATTAGCTGATGAGACGTCTGTTGGTGCATAGTCAGTTTGAATATATCTGAACATAACTGTCATGATTGTTTCTGAATCATGTATTATAGTCACATGTACCAACACTTTGTAAGGATTACCCATGGCGACACACACTCACAGTACATGTGGGCCAGAGTCAATTCAAACACTGAGGAAATCGTTGAAGTGTTTTAACTGTGACACAGGAACGATCAACCTCATTAATGTAATTGCCAATGTCAATGAGTCACCGTTGTCAGGCTTGTGTCACTGCTAATGGTGGTCACACCCGATACTGACTTGTGAACTGACAGCTGACCCCACACGACTTTCAGCCTGACATAGCGTTTACCGAGGATATATGTTGACACTGTAGTGATAAATTCATATTTCATGGCTATCAATATATTTTTCAGTGGCAAATTCGTTCTTTTTTTCATTGCAGTGATGCACGGGAATTTTTTTCCACAAAGTATATAACGCAGGGCACTAATTCAAAACGAAAATCATATATATCATATATCATATATCATATATCATACCACAATCTATGCACGTTTCTTATTCTTTGTGTAAAGCATAATAGCTACATTACAAAATACATAACATGTAACACAACACAAACTTAAACATGGTTATTTCATTGAAGAATGCTAACATTTAACCGAGAAACTCCAGTGCTCTTTCAGTAAAAAGGGATCTCTTTACCTTGACAATTTTTCTCTTGATGAAATTGATAATGAATTGTTCAGTTACTGATCTACTCTTCTGAGCTGGGTAAAATGTATTAAATGTTTACACTCAAATGATTTACATATTCAATGACAAGGAGAGGAGAGATCATGTCAAGATGTTAATGTATTGATTAAACTGGTGACCTATCGGAAACATGTCCATAGTGGTATTTTTCCTTACCAGGCTCGCAGCACTATAGTGAGTGTGTTGGGTCTAATGCTGCAGTTTTCCAGTTATATTACGGCGTCCTAGCGCTATAAGATTAATGAGGTTACACAAGGATTCATGAAAGGTATCGGTATATATGAAAATAGACCAAAGTGGTCTATGTTGAAAAGCATCTTGTGCTTATAAACTATTTAAATACATACGCCTGGTATTTGAATTTGTACATAACTTTTTGAGGCATATGAATATTTGAAAACTTACAAATTTACAAATGTGTCACTGCCCAATGAAAACCCTTGTAAATGTTGAAATGTAATACCCTGCAATGTAGGACAATCGAAAGAAAGACTAATATCAAGTATTTACTTGGGAATCTCCTTTGGAATTGATGCTTGGAAATTTCTGAAAATCTGGTCATAGCGTTCATGACAATGGTGCTTATACATATGATAATATACGATGTACGATGGTCATATATTTCGAAGGGGTAGCTGCATATGAAATAAACCTATTCATGATTGTCGCTGTATTGTAATATCTCGAAAAAGACAGGAGATGGGCACAAGACCGTAGAAAACAATTTCCCTTTATTGTTGAAAATCTCGGGACATGTTATCTTTACCAAATTCCATTTAGCGCTGTCTTGTCAACGGACAAATACCTTTACGTTGCAAACACAGTATGAATAACCTTGTCGTCACAAAGTCGAAATATCTGGAGGTCGAGGCAAGCAAAACTAAGCCCATAGTGCCGATAAGGATTGTGCAGGATGTATGTTGTCTAATTAAATTAAGTTTAATAGCAAGGCATACTTGGCAAATATTGTGTATGGCTTAATGTGCCTCCATAAAAGTAACAACAAAAAGTGCGCAAGGCAGTAAGAAGTGTCAAGACTCGACAATTGAGTAGAGAATCAAGACATAAGAGATCCGTAATGCTTGTACACAGTTTGTAGAAATAAGGATACAGCGCTTAATAGGAACATTCATTCGAATTCAAACCAAGATTGTGCTCTTAATGTATCAATCTTTTCGTATAATGTCAAAAGAATAACTCACCTACACCATGTAAATGGTGGCAAACTTCATGGATGCACGTGAGGAATATATATACAGCTTTCTATTAGTCTGAATATATATATAGATATATGTTTACAATTTGTCACGTGACACGTTGTACACGCAATATGCAAACGTCTAGTGTCACGTGTTCTGGATTCACGCCCAAATTGATAACATCCTGAAATGTTGAGTGGGCAAGAAGAAAACTGACTTGTTGGCTTTGTAAGAAAAACTTGAAACTAGCATCCTTGTACGGTTAAAGGTAAGAGAAATTTGAAACTAACACTTTATGCTATATCTGAAAGAATGCGCCCTTTGCAGTCTCCGTAGAAATACCATACTCCAGTGTACCTTATAATTAAACGTCGTGAAATGTAAACGCAACAGGCTGGAACTGCGGAAACATTGCTCGATATTAAGGGAACGTTTTCTGTTGAGAAGATGAAGCCATCCGTCTTCTTAAACAACCGTGTGGATAACCCACTAACCCACTAACCCACTTGCGTACCATACCACAGTATACCGACTCCGACCCGACCAGTCCTTAATGCCGAGCCCCATCTTTTAACGTCTTTAGGTATGACGCGGCCGGGGATCGATCCCCGGGCCCTCCCCTGCGGGCGGACGCTCTACCACTAGACCACGGAGGCGGTCTCTTTATGTAGAGACCTAAACCAGAATCAGTTGAGGTGGTCTCACTGGTCTCTTTTATTTCTAGCTTAGGTGTGTAAATCAGTGGAAGCGAATGGGATATTTGACCGTTATTTATATTGACATTGATCGATACCTTAAGCTTCAATTAAAAGTGAAAAGTCAGAGTGTTTGATCGAATATTTCCTCGCTGCGACCCATCCCATGGACGCAGAACCAAACTAACGACTCAATCCGTGCATAGACTGACAGTCAACATCATTCTACAGCAATCTATTTATTACTTCACTATCAATTTAAAACATCTTTATTATCACCTTTGATTAATTGGCCAATTGATCAATGATTACAAACACCTATTCGCCACATGTTCATTAACAACTTCAGATACCTCACCCGTCACGTTGGTTAGTTTAACATCCCGTGCTATGCATTACTTTAATATTGTAGTAAGACACACTGTCACTGACCTATATTTAAGGGGGTACTTTTAATATAATGATGATATTTGTTGTAAACAAGCTTCTTATTCCTGATTCTACATGCAAAGTACAAGTTGTTCTATCTTCTAGGTTACACGTGTGCTCTTAATGACATCTAAAGGTAGGGATGCTACAAAAAACTTTGGCGCCGTGTTGATCCTCTGGATCAAAGTTATCTTGTTAACTTGTCTTAAAATTGTATATGTTATCATCTTGCACACGGGCCTCACGTACAATAGCGATTGATTGACTCAATGACAAACAGACTTGCCATAGAATCAACATCATAAATAATGCACTCCCTCGGGCGTATGCACCAGGGAAGTAAAATTATTGTAGATTTTGACATCGCGCTCGTGCCAAGTCCAGAGAATCTCCCGTGGTGTTAAAATATAACGTCGATGGGTCAATGCATGACTGCCTCGTGCACATGTATTCCGATATAATGAACACAGTAAATAATGCCCACCGAGACTTGGTAATTATTTGGTATCTCCGTATAAGGCCACGCCTGTAACGTGTATTTGTAAGATATGTTGTGTGTTTCTTTATGCGTAAACTATTATCACCATAACACACACACGCACGCACGCACGCACGCACGCACGCACGCACACACACACACACACACACACACACACATATATATATAGGGAGAGAGAGAGAAAAATATATATAGATATAAAGATATAGATATATCGATAGATACATGTAGATAGATAGATAGATAGATAGATAGATAGATAGATGACCATCACCATGGCATATATTTAATATCTCAGATCACATTGGTCGATCATACTCAGTTACATCAATTTGGAAGAGGAAAGAATATTGCCGACATTCCTGTTTTATACCCCTCTAATACGTGCACAGTAGCCAAGCATCTTGTGTACGGGTTTGTTGGCAGATTAAAACGTCAAAGGCCACCCGCTAGTTTAACCGAACTTGTCCAGGCACTGTAAGACTCCCTCAAAATGGTCATTGTGAGCTTGATTGAGGCCATGCCAAGCCGCATAACTAGTGTTTGACTAACCGTAGGGGTATGACCCGTTATAGATAAAATAATTTAAAACACATCCTTCTCGTCTTTCTTGGTTGTGAGAATACACCGCGAACCTGTTCTGATGATTGTTATGTTACACCTATTCCTTGTTTTTTTCTTATCCATCTATAACCATGCATCTTTGTATTTCTGTAATCATCTGTTATTTTTTATATCTACTTTTTTTGAAAGTATATATAAGTTATCGCGAAAGCGAGACTTCATTCAACATGGCGTCGCTAAGCGAGTGATCGCGTTCCGTGTCGCCAGAGAAACGTGTTCACTGGTAAGTAATGTTCTGTTTAGTTGTATATGTGACGTGAGTGGTGTAGGTTCCTTGGGAAGGGACGTTACACGTTAGTCTGATTGCGAGTGCTCCTGTTTAGACCCAGTGACCAGTCCCTACTATCCTGCTTTATGCCCCTGCATCGACCCAGTGACTGAACCAGCCTCACTACTCGCACTCGCATTCCCCACACTCGCATTGTTTATTCATGACACTCTCAAGGGCCACAGGTGCATAGTTCAACATATTAACAAGGCATGCGTGTTTCTTTGAACTAACAATCCATGATTACGTACAATGCAATATTTTGTAATAATGTAACATTTGATGTTGACAAGACAATGCAGAACAAACTGATATTTGGATACCGTGTAAACTTCTTTGCACCATATTTGTTTCTTAACTGAATGTTTCCACATATACATAAACTGTCATTTTCTACAGCATTAAGGTAACAAGATGTACAGGTATTGTTAGACGTTTGTAATGTGCCTTTTGATCAGAATAACCTCCTCTGAATTGTACGACACTTAAATCATTATATTCTCCATATGTCAATCACTGGATTGTCTGGCGAATACTCGATAATTTACAGACCGCCGTCATATATCAATGTGTTGTTTTAAGAAAGTTCAAACAGTAATTTTAGAGAAAAATCCTCATCCTCATGATGTGTTAATGGATACTAATGCAGATGGTAAGATGTTAGTGAACGCAGTTTATCATTCAACGAATGTCAATGGGTTGGTTATGCATGATTTGGCAAAACGGTTTCCAAAGGTCAGTACACAAACTCGACTTTAACCAACTGATATGTGATGAAGCAACAATGACAGTTCAACGCCAGGTACATTAAGGTACGTCAATCTGATTGGTTGATGAAGGAGTGACGTCACTCTAAAAATAGCTCATATAGTACATTCAAACCGATCGAGAGCGTGAAATCGGGTAATACAGCCAATCGTCTGTCAGCTGTGTAAACAAAATGCTGTGATGAACTTGGTCACATAGCAGCCTTGTCCACTGGAGCAAATAGTTGTGTAAACAAACCTTTGAGGAAGGCAGTCCTCTGTATCCACGAGATAACATACACATATACAAGCATGTTTTGTCATTGAATGTAACCAAGCTCCTTCTCTATAGTTATGAATGGCTATGTAGTGGATAAATATATAAGCTCTATTTACATCGTTAAGGCTTCATTTCACTGTAACCATGCCGACTGATGGTTGGAAAGTTTATATATACGGGTATTTATTTTAATCCAAAACACCCAGCTTCCTTTTCTGGGCCCAATAAGCTGTATCACATTGTCAAAAAGGAGGGGAAATTTGATATGAGTTTACATCACATAAAGAAGTGGTTGGCGTCCCAAGATGCCTTTTTGCTTCAGCGACCTTTAAGATACAATTTCAAGCGGAACAGAGTGGTGGCTTCAGGCCTCAATGCTCGATGGGACATTGACGTGGCTGATGTTACTAATATAGCCTCGGACAATGACGGTGTGAAATACTTATTCATAGCTATAAATGTATTTACACGGTTTCTGTGGGTCGAGCCCCTTAAAAATAAAATGCCAGACGCTGTCATTAAGGCCATGAAGAATATATCTTCCCCGGCTACTCTACCACGAATTATACGATCTGACAAAGGTCAAGAATTTGATAATAGGAAAGTGAAAGCCTTTCTACAAAGTAAAGGAATCACTGATTATGTGACACAGAATGAAACCAAAGCTTCTTATGCTGAACGGGTGATCAGAACTCTTAAAACAGATGTTGATGATGATGATACAGACACTGAATAATCGCTCCATTTACATTATTGTGAGATACTGATTATCTTAATGTTTGATTTTTGTGTTTTAATGAATAAATCATGTGTTTACATGATTTGACATCAATCAAACAATCCTTGTGGTTAAGTAAAACCTTTTTGAACTGATACTGGTGAAACAAGGATGGCATTACTTCTCCCCGAAAAGAAGCATAATTGCTCATGCTGCTTTATGCAACAATTCACTCACTAAGCTAAGCTCAGTCACAAAGGATAACATACAAAACAAGTCATGTTCAATACATTTATTCGAAGGATATACAATTCAAATAGGTCATATTCAAGTACAAGACATGTATACATATTTACAACATTCTTCAGTTGAAACAGTTTTATTGCAACTGAAGAATGTTGTAAATATGTATACATGTCTTGTACTTGAATATAACCTATTTGAATTGTATATTGTATAATCTATATTGCAATGATAGTTGGTGGTGCTGTAGTTAATGCTCTTGCTTTTTTATCCATTGCCATGAAGATTCCGTCCGTCCGTCTGCTTCTCAAAGGGGACAAATTTTCTCAAAAACTATAAAAGTTAGAGAAATGAAATATTAGACACTGATTTTACTGGTCATGATGTTAAATGAGTTCGAACATTAGTGAAAATTAGAGATACTTGTCAAGACTGAGAATTAGTGCTGTAAATTATTCTTTTACAGAGTTATGGCCCTTGATCTATGTTATTTTACATAGTGCATAGTGTGTGCAATGGGGACAGTTTTCTCAAAAATTACTGAAGTTAATGAATGCAAGTTTGCATATTTATACATACTTGCACACTACAGTTGTCAAGACTGAGTTTCTTCCCTTGCTACATGATGTGATATTTTGGGCATACACAGTTTTGCCCTTGATCCATTTCATTTTACACAGTGCATAGTGTCTGCAATGGGAACAAGTACAGAAGTTATCTAACAGATACTCAAGACTAGTTCGAGAGGTGGTGCAATACATTTTTT